TTTCCCTACCCGCCCCCAAACAAACAGGCACGCACAAACATACACACAGACACACACACACACACGCACACGCACACAGGCAGATGGACTTAAAGAAAATGGAGTGTCAAGACAGCACAACAGGTAAAGGACAGAAGGAGGAGAAGGGACCACCAGCAGAACCAGCCCTGAGTCCCCAGGCTCGCCCTCGGCCACAGGTCTTTGGCCCCCAGCCAAACAGGTCTCTTGCAAGCCCCACAAAGAAAGAATTCCTCAGCAGGGGGCTCTCTTGACCGCCAAACCTCAGTGTTTGGAAGCGGGAGAAGCCCCATCTCTACAGTCCTTGGCCAAGAGCACCACCACCCCGCAGGAGCCCCAGTTCCCTCCCAAGCCGCCCGTCTGGGTTGGAAGTGTCACATGACACACAAGGTCAGAAAGGGCGGTCAAGCTTTCTCCCATTAGCCAAGGACGTGGCCGGACTCCGAGCTGAGCTGCAGGGCGGTTGCTATGCCCAGTCACGAGATTTCTCAGCGGCAGCTGCCACGTCTCCTAACACACCTCTGAGGAGAAATAAAGAAATGAGCTCTGTGTCTCGGGCCGCAGCTCTCGGGACCCTGCAGAGGCCATAGCTGCTGAGGACATGCAGCCGCACAGGTGCGCCAGAGCCCAAGACTGACTGCCCCACACCGATGGCCTCACCAGACTAGCTGTGCCCCTTGGGTGCCCAGGCCGCACACAGCAGCTCCAGGACCCTCCCTGGCACCTCCTCCCTCTCCCCAAAGACAGTGAGACCTGTAGGAAACTAACCCCCCAAAATATAATCTCTCAATGAAAGCAATTTAAATAACTTATGTGTGCACATGCCGGTGTGTACATAGGTGTCTGTGGGAATAGAGAGGCATGGCAAGAGTCCAGATGGGTGGCCCACCCCTATGCTCCACCCTAACCCTGAGATGCCCAACAGACAGATACAGCAGAGGGGACAAATATGTACAGACACAAACACCTAGCCATGGCATAGGTCTAGGCCTGCATGCTCCTGTGTATCCCTCTTTCTCTCATTACACACACACACACACACACACACACACACACACACACACACACACACGCACAGAGATATCCTGCAACTTTGAATGTGATTAATTATGGAAGAATGAGCCCAGCCTCAGAGACCACTGTCCGTGGAATGACCACGAAGCCTCTCCAGCCCACAAGTTTGCATGTGTTTGCCCAGCGGGTGCAGCAGAGGCACAGGTGGACCAGTGAAAAGAGGTGAAGGGGACAAGGGGACAGAGGCGGTGGGAGGTTTCTCTAGGCTCCCCTCAGCACCTCCAACTCCCTAATCACTCCTGTCCTCAGTCCCCAGGCATCTGGCCCATCTGAGGCAGACAAGTGGGTGGCCCTGAAGCCAGGCAAGGCTTGGCTTCCTGAGAGAGGAATTCCTCGCATTTCTCCGCCTCTGGGCGTGGAGGAAACCTCTAACTTATCCTCCCTGCTCGGGGCTCTCCCGGGGTTGGCCAAGGGGAGAAGGGGACGGGAGAGAAGAATGCGAACAGAAACATGTGGCAGAACCCAACTCTAGCCCAGCCCAGGTGGCTTCATCCCAAACAGGGTGCTGGCCAGGATCCTGGCTATTTGGACCCACAGGGAATTGGAGCAGGTGTGAAGGTGGGGGGTTAAGACCAGGGAGAGACATTCCACGAGTCATAAAAGGCACAGAGCTATCTTGAGCAGATTGCCCTGGGCTTGCACTGTCCAATATGGTAGGAGCCACACGGGACTATGGAGCACCGGCGGTGTGGCCAGTCTAAACAAAGTTGTAAGTGATTTCAAACTTGTATGAAACAAGAATGTGAAATATCTCTTTATACTGATTACATGTTGAAATGATATTTTAGATCCTTGGGGTTAAATAAAATCTATTATTAAAATTAATTTCACCAGCCTATTTTTAGATTTTATTTTAAAAGACTGTAAGATATCTCATTAATATTTTTATTTTGATTTACCTATTGAAATTATAATACTTTGGATATTTTGAGTTAAATTTAAAAATCATTACAATTAATTTCTCCAGTTTCCTGTATGTTCTTTAATAGAGCTATTAGTAAATTCTCCAGTGCAAACATAGCTCATGTTATTTTTCCACTGGACAGCCCTGCTCTAGGGACAGCCATGGCATCCACTCATAGCTTCAGCCTGCTGCGTGTCCAAGATGGTAGCCAACACGAGTTCTGTTGGCACAGGGGCCAGGTACTAATGTCACATTCCTCCCCTCTGCGGGACAGCCGACCACCAGGAGAACGCATGGCCAGCTCCAACTCCCCTGTCCTCACCCTCCTCCCCTCTCAGCGGGACAAATGAATAGCCTGGGCAGGGCCCGCCCAATCTGATCCTGGAGCATCGCCAGCCTCTCTACCTCTGCCGACCCAGGCCTCTCACAGGGACCCTGATTCCTTCACAGCCTGGTACTGCTTTCCATCACTGCTTTCCCAGGCCTCCTCCAGCTCCTCCTCATGTCTCTTCTACCACTAAAAGGAACACTGCCCCTCTCCTGGGCTCATCCAGGTCTTCTCTTTGGGTAAAAATGTCTCTGCCCTTCAGGGATTTGCCTCTCCTATGAGAGCATCAGAGGGATACAGACTAAAGGCTCCTGTCTGGAAGCCAAGAGATGAATGAGATGGGGATACGGTCAGCCTGAGGGTTCTGAGCCTTTCTTTCCTCGGTGGAACCTAAACAGGTTGCCTGAAGTGGAAGAGGTGCCTGGATGCAGACAAAAATGGAGGTCAGAAGCAAGAAGGTCAAGGGGTGTCTCAGAGACACACCAGCAAGGCACAGAGTCCCTTTAGGATGGGGGATGTTTTGCACATAGGATGCGAAGACTCTCAGCAAACTCCATAATGTGGGAGTCCAGGGACCCCCACAGTAGGTCAGTCCGGATCCCAGGACTGCGGCTGCTGCATCCTCAGACGTGTGAGCGTGGACGGCAGAAAAGAATAGAAGCGGGGGAGGGAAGGTGAAGTAAAATGAGCCATAGGGATGGGAAGCGGCAGGTTCTGGCCCCTCCCAACTTTGCCTGCACCCCCAAACCTGGGTGCTTACACAGGCCAGAGGGGACCCAGGGAAGGCAGTTCTTACCCCCACTGGACGGTGGGCTGGTCGGGGAGGTTCTCTCCATCTCCTCAAAGGCCTCCTTGTAGCTGTGCAGATGGGGCTGCAGAAGAAAAAGGGAGGAAAACAGTGGCTGTGACACTGAGGAGGAGGAGTTCCCAGTTAACCAGCCTGACCACCGCCCTCCCCTGGTAAACACAGAGGTCAAAGGGAGATCCGCGCCATCCGTGAGCCCAACAACTCCTTGCAGCCAAGAGAATAGAAAGCGGCTATTTGCAAGGCCATGGTCCAGCAGCACCTGCCTTGGGAACATTTCACAACAGGCCCAAAGAGAAGGCGTTGGGGGGCAGGGGACTGAAGGCGAGAGAGAAAAGATGTCCAAACGCCATTTATATCCAGAATGACTTGTTAACCTGGATTTTATCAAATATGGGCCACTCACATCAGAATCTTCCAGGGTGCATGTTTAAAATGCAGATTCTTGGGTCCCATCCCAGGTCTACTAGGCTAGAATCTCTGGAGGGGGACTTGGGGGATCTACATTTTTAGTAGATTCCCTGGTGATTGTTATGCTCTTCCGCAAACTACTGATCGTCTCAGAAATACAATCTGACCTTGAAATTTGATCTCCCAAGAAAACCATACGTCTAGAAAGGGCTCAAAAACAAAGTCAGTCTCTAGGATCTGGCTTGGAGTTTAGAGACTGTGGTCACCTACATCATACCCAGGATCCTTACCACCCTGCTAAGGGGTGCCCTGTAGGAATCAAGAAGGGAACCTCAGTCTCAGTGTTCATGGAAAAAGTAGGGGCATAAAAGCTATTTAGGGAAGGAAATGGGCTCCAGATTCCACAGGCCTGAGAGGAGACCTAGGCTGAGGATGCAGGGAGGAACAATTACTGAGTTTACTGACAGTTCATTGCTGCCCAGTTAACCATCAAGTTCCTCAATAGTTCAGGTGGGCTCCGCTACCCTCTGTGGCCCCAGGACTCACCTCTTTGGGCCGCCCTCCAGGATTGAGAGCGATGGTGAGAGCCAGCTCTGGGGAGACGCACTGGACAGGGGAGCGAACCCCAGGACTACGGGGGGATGCAGGTTCTGGCGACTGGTTCTCATACTGCCCATCGCTGGCCGCCCGCCTCCGGAGAGGTGCTGGGGGCTCTGCAGGCTGCTTCTCCCGAGCTTGCACCCCTGGGAGGAATGGCAGGGCACAGAGGGCACTGAGCATAATGTGGGGGAGAGGACCCATCGGGCCTAATTCCCCCAGAGAAGGCAGTGCATCTTAGCCCAGGGGGCCCAGCTGGAGCTGGGCTTGTCTCCCCTCAGCGCATCCTCCCATCAGCCTCCCTCTGCCCACACCCCGGTTTCTCTGCAGGGTGGGGGATCGGCTTAGATTGGCTGGCCTTCACCAAGAATCTCCACTCTGCACAGGGTTGGGGCCCAGAGCACAAAGGACTGATACAAGAAACAGATGTCAACTTCCTCCAAGCCCCGGAGGCAGAGGGCCAGAGCTTCCAGGCCAAAGAGGGAAGGTGGAGGGAGGAGAATCAGTCTCCAAGGCAACTGCATCAACCGACAAGCAACACCAGGCCCGTGGGGAAGACTCCTGGGAAGAACGAATGATGCATCACCTTGCAGATGGCGCTCCCGAGAAGAAACCAAGAAATGACTACGTCTTGCCACAGTGTCCCCAGCCCCAGCTGGCCCCCGGAATACTGCTGGCCTTCTCTGGGATGGCCCAACCCTCATCCAGTGCACCTCTGAAAGCTCCTTCCCACTTCCCTTATGCTGGCCCCTTATCTCTCCACCCTTCTCTTGCCCCAAAGATGGCCCAGGTTCCAGCCTGCCTCTCCCAGCAGAGCAGCAGGCAAACAGCCTGAAGCCATGTGCCCCATCTGCTTCTGTGCACTTCCCTTCCATTCCGCAGGCCTGGGGATGTTGTTAATCTCACCCTCCTCCCTTCCCACTCCCTCCTCCCATAGCTGGGCTGCCACACGAAACCCATTGCCTCACTGAGCTGGCTCCAGAATCCTAGAGAACTTATTCCCTGGGGCCCAGAGGCCAAGACCCAGCCTGAGGGCGGGCCCCTTGCCCTCATTATCCTGCGGGAGGAAATTCCCAGCCCTACTTTCACCACCACCCAAGGGGGCAGGTGAGGAGAGGTGCTGGGACTTATCAAGGGTCTTGTGAGACCCTGGCCACAGCAGCCTCAGGCCAGCACTTGTGGGCAGACCAACTGCCTCGTGGCACACAACACACACACACACACGCACACGCACACACACACACAGCTGGCCCCAGGAACACACCAGCTCAGCCAATCAGAAATCACCCTCATTCAGACTGAATCACCATCTACCCTCCACAGTGGGGTCTGCATGGCCCTGGGGGCCCTTCAGCTCCAGCCTGGAGCAGCCACTAAGGCTGCCATGACAAGCACAGGCCGGGAAGCCTCCCTACTTGTCATGAAGAGCAGGCTGCCGGCTGCCAAGTCTAGGGATGGACACATACTCTCACACACTCACACCATCACTCCAAGTCATGCACTCATATTATCTCATAATTAGGAGCCCCGTCTGGAGAGCACATGTAAACGCAGAAGGTAGCTGGGTGGGGCGGGGCTCTTTATTCGGGGGGGTGGGGATGTTCTGAGGCTCCACTTCGGGCTCTTCGTTAATCAGAGGCAAGCTGCCTACCATCTCAACCGAGGAAAAAAGAGCCCTGGCTAAAGACAGTAAACCAGACTCACAACTGCTTTACTTAAAGCAAATAAACCCCTTGCCTCGAAGGACCTTTATTTTCAGAACAGAAAAATGGGGGTCGCAGAGTCCTAACCAGGGGCTGCTATGAGCGTCAACACGGATGAAAGACGGGGCCCGGCTCTAAAGGGTGGGGCAGCAGCCGAGACCCTACAGCAATCCCAGGCTGCCAGCCCTCAGAGAAGCAGCCTGCACCCCGACCGGCCCTGTCCTTGGCCATGCTCCCCCCACCACCGAGCCCCCTTCCCCCTCAGGCCTCCGGGGCAGCTTGGTCCAAAGCCGCTGCTGGTTCCACTCCTGGCAAAAACATTAGAGAGAAAGAGACGTAGCCATTGATTTTCTAATAATAATCGTGACAAACGAGGCCCATTTGGGAAAGGCCCTTGGGGTTTGGAACCAACTTCAGCCCCAAGGTTAAAAGAAACGCATTACGGCTGCTCTCAGTTCCGGCTGGCCCAGACCTGCAGCCTCTTTCTGGCAGGTCCCCCGTGCCTCTGCAAGGGGTGGCCAGTTTCCCCGTTTGGGGATCCGATATCTGCCCTTGAAAATAGGGTCTGTTTCAATTCGAGGCCCTAAGTCTCCCAGAGGGACAGAGAACATTCTCCCCGATGCACCCAGAACATCCCCCACATTCTGGGGATGCAGAGGGCTGCAGCGGCCCAGAGAAGAGGCGGGACCGTTGGAGGGGCTTCCGGGCTTTGGAGGATGCGAGACCTGGCGCAAGGCGGTCAGACACCTGAGGGCAATCACACCCTCTCCAAGCCGCCTCTCCACCACCACTGGAGTGGGACCGGCTCTGTCCAGAGGCAGGGGGGATGGACAGGTTGCTGTCCAAAGAGCTAGGGCCCTGCAGGGCAGAGCCTCCCTCTGCAGAAGAGGGAAGACCCGGCATAGCACTCCCACAGGGACAGCCCCTCTCCCGCAGAGCGCCCACGGCCCCAGTGGCCAGCCTGGGCCTCTCACATTGTTTGAACACAGTGTCCCACTGTTGTCCGCCTTGGCAGTCCCAGATCTGCCCCGGAGCGCCTGGAGAGCCATGTTCCCTCTCTCTTGTCTCTCTCTACGGGAGGGGAGACGGGCCATGGCAGAGGGGAGAGAAGAGAGCCCCATTGTTCCTCAGCTAAGCTGGGACGTCTGGACACAAGCTGACAGCCAGTGTCAGAGAGAGAACACCACTCCCTCATGTCCCAGTGGCTGACGGATAATAAAAATAGGCCCGCACTCCCCACCGGCCTCCTCCCCTCCTCCACCCCCGACCCCAGGACTTTCTTGGTCTCCTGGCCCCGGCCCCCGCTCTCAGGGCCTCCGTCTACGTGCCCCGCTCCCTGCACACACAGAGGCACACGCGTACACACACACGTACAGACACGTGTGGGCGCATGCAGCCTTAGCCCGGCAGGAACAGTGGTGGGTCACAGTCACCCTCAGAACCTCCACGCTCAGCCCTTCCCCAGCAGGAGAACGGGGGCCAGGGGAAGCTCATAAAGAAAGGGGGAAAGAGAGGCAGGCAAGGGACTCTGGAAGATCCTCCCAGGAAAGCTGGTGAGTCCAGCCTTCCAGCCCCGGCAGCACAAGGAGTGGCCTTTGGGATAATAGCGCGCTACATCCAGAAGCCCTTTGTCATCCTCCAAGGGCTGCTCACACACTGTGGGCATCGGACCTTCCCCTCCTCCTGGAGGACAGTGGTCACCTCAGCCCGGGGCCTCCACATTGACCATCAGACCTGAAGAGCAAGGGGCCGGAGCAGCCCCATCTCCTGGGGTCCTCACTCTGCTCCCCAGGATGGTATTGTGCTCAGGGGAACAGCTGGCTCCAAGGCTCCCCTAAAGTGGGCTGGAACTGAGGTTGTGAATCCCCTTCATCTCACTCACACACACACACACACACACACACACACACACACACACACACGGGCAATTCTAGGGGCTATAGCCCTAACACACATCAATACACCTGGTTAATAGATGGAGCATGGCTGCCCACCACCCCCGAGTTCCATGGACATACGCCCTGGTGTCAGGCTTCATCACATGCCTCCCCTACCCACCCCAGGACTGGCCGCTTCCACCCCGACAGACCCAGCTCTTCTTTCCAGCCTTCCAATTTCCAAAAAACTGGATTCCTCAGCTCCAGGTGGCGGGGCTGGGTGTCCGACTGCTTGCCTGGGGCTCCAGAAGGGAGGGGATCCGGGAGGCCACCTGCTGGGCCAGGGCACCAGAAAGCCACACGGCAACCACACTAGCAGCCCCAGGGCAAGCCATGCCAGCTCCCCTCAGGAACCCCCAGAACTGCCCAAACCCCCAGGCCCCACCGAACACTGCACTCCCCACCACTGGGCCGAGAAAAGGTGGAGGGACAGGAGAGGAGGGCGACAGGAGGCGTTCTGCTAGAACCATCTCCCCATTATCCATGGACTGGGAGAAGGAGGGGCCGTGAGAGCACCAGATATTGCCACTGGGAGTCATCAGCTCCCACCCCACCCCACCCCCAAGCCTTTTGCCAGAACTGCTCAAGGCCACGGCCTGGGGTAAGCCTGAGCACATCGTCTTCTCCCTGACCTGGGCCTCTGGGCTCCAAGGAGCAGAGAAAGGATGAGGTGATTCCCTCCCCAGAGCTAAAAGTCTAGGGGTTGTGTGTCCAAGAGCTGGTGGGAGACGCTAGTGGATGACATCACCCTCTAACAGAGCAACGTGACTCTTGATGGAGGGTCCACCATGTTGGGGCGCATCAAGCCACCATGCAAAAGGCACGTGGCAAGGCTACGATCCTCCATTTGCCACACTGGGAGACAGAGCTCTGAGCAATTCAGAGACTTGCCCAGGAGTGTCACAGGTCACAGGAGCACATCGTCTTCTCCCTGACCTGGGCCTCTGGGCTCCAAGGAGCAGAGAAAGGATGAGGTGATTCCCTCCCCAGAGCTAAAAGTCTAGGGGTTGTGTGTCCAAGAGCTGGTGGGAGACGCTAGTGGATGACATCACCCTCTAACAGAGCAACGTGACTCTTGATGGAGGGTCCACCATGTTGGGGCGCATCAAGCCACCATGCAAAAGGCACGTGGCAAGGCTACGATCCTCCATTTGCCACACTGGGAGACAGAGCTCTGAGCAATTCAGAGACTTGCCCAGGAGTGTCACAGAGGAGGTCACAGGAAAAGCCAGGACCACACCCAGGGCTTCTGACCCTTGGCCATGGGTCCTAGGATCAGAGATTCAGGATGAGGTCAGAGGGGGTGCCCTGTCCCCAGGGAGTGCTGTACTCCAGAATGGACAGAGCAGCAGGTGGCAGGGCACCACTCTGCGTCTTGTGCCTGCTGGTCCATGCAGAGCTCAGCCTGGCTCCTGCTGAGGCTCTGGCCGGGCAGCCCAAGTGATCTGGCCAAGGTAGCCGGGGAGCCGGGCTGTCCCAAACCCTCACTGAGCACCCTTGTTGCAA